AAATAAATAAATAAAATTAAAAAAAAAAAAAGAATACAATCCTCTTCAATTCTTTGGCCCTGTGTTTTAGCTTTTCAACTACTATAATACCACACATCTAAAACTTTGAACAATTTGAAATTCAATAAGTGACTATGAATCCATTGATACGAAGAGCATACGATATTTAAACTTCTGAGGTGCAGGGGTCAATGACCATCAAAAGTGAAATCTTAATTATCCTGAAAGGGGATTTTACCTGAGGAACCTTTTCAGAGGCTAAAGCCTTCTTCCAGCCCTGAGAAATAACCGAGACGCTCCTCCTGGTTGGTCCTCCATCTAGACAGTGAGTGGGGAGGAAGAGTGACCAGTCTGGGCAGGAAATGCATGATGGGGGCTGGGGAGGTAGCTCAGTGGTGTGAGCACCTGCCTGGCAAGCACAGGGTCCTGAGTCTGATCCCCAGTACCACAAAAAACAAAGAAAAGAAAAAGAAACGCATGATGGAGAGTTGACCATGTACGCCCAGTTGGCAGGCAAGGATGGTTCTGAAGTTAAAGACACCAAGCCAGACATTTTCTTTTCTTTTTTTCCGGAACCAGGGATCGAACTCAGGCCCTTGCACTTGCCAGGGAAGCGCTTATTCCACTGAGCCATCTCCCCGGCCCCAAGCCAGATATTTTCTATGAGGCAGAGTGTTTGCTGAAGTCTCAGCTTTGCCCAACGTTAAAGCCAAAGGCTAGAATTCGCGCATCACTGTCCGGATTCAGCCTGCCTCCCTGATGTCTGTCTCTGCCCAGAGCACTGAGATGCTCCCTATAGTGTCCCCACTGGCGTGCAGAAGGGGCCACGAGGGCTGGGCTGTCACAGGGCAGCAGTTCCTTCCCCAGGAAGCTCTCCTGCGCATTCTCTCGGGACCACACCTTCACAAGTCCCAGCCGCCCTGCTTTCCCTGCCCGTCTGCCCTGGAAGCCAAATCAGTAGCTTAACGTAAGGCCAGTTACCGAGCAAGTCATCCCGACCAGTCTGTCACAAAACAAGATGAAACTGGCTGATATTTCTTTTATTATTACTTTTTTTTTTAATTTTTATTTATTTATGTGTGTGTGTGTGTGTGTGTGTGGCCAGCTCAGCCCACCAGGAGACGGGGCTGGCTGGCATGTGGTGCTGGGGGATTGAACCGCAGTCCCTGTGATTTGCTCAGCTTGTTCTAAGTAGGTGCTTTAGACCACTGAGCCATCTCACCAGCCCCTATTATTACTTTTTAAACATATTTGGTACAGGGCTTCACTGTGCAGCTTGGACTCCCAGTGATCCTCCTGTCTCAGCCTCCCTAGTGCTAGGATTACAGGTGTGCACCACCACACCCAGTTTCAGTGGCCAGCAAGGCACCCCTGGGGTTCTGAGGTGGCACAGCATGCAGTACTGGGGACCAAACCCAGGTCCCTGCACTTACCAGGCAGGCGCTTAAATTACTGAACTATCTCCCCAGCCCTGGTTGACATTAAAAAAAAAAAAAAAAAAAAAATCCCCAGAATTTTGATGATAGCTATTTCTGGTGATAAAGTTAAACTGGTTTTTATTTCCTTCATTTCCACTCAACTATATTGACCGGAAAGGCAGAACAAACAAGGCAAGTATAAGTGAGCTAGTATATGATGTTATGCTTTACATTTGCTTGTGTTTTCTACATAATTTTTAAAATTATTTCTTCTAATTGATGAATCAAATGGTCTCACCAGGGCCCAAGAAAGAACAATACCCGAGCTCTAAACACATCCTGTTCTTGCAAGACTTCTTTTTCTCACTCACAACTGGATCCAGCTCGTCTGCTTGTTTGGATGCTTCTAGAAAGAATAATCCTAGGGGTCTGGGGAGATGGCTCAGTAGAATAAGCACTTGCCTGGCAAGTGCAAGGGCCTGAGTTCAATCCCCGGTTCAGTCAAAAAAATAATAATAATCCTAAACTCTCCCCGAAAATCAAAACTGACACTCATGTGTACTGAACTATAGTAACTTCATTTCAGCTTAGAAGCCTCTCCCTTTTGGTTTGAACTTTTAGTGATACCATTTTCTTTAAAATTATCTTAGAGCTTCTCTATGCTGAACGGAAGAGGTCTCTGGCCTAAGGGAAATTCCCACAGCACAAAACCCAAATCCAAACACCAGCACACGTAAGTGCCGTTAGGACACTCACAGGGATGTCCATGACTCTGGCTCTCTGAAGCGAAGCCACAGTGGAAGGTTCTCAGACAGGCTCGAGTTTTGTCCTTCTGTAATGCTGTATACTTTGGCACCATTACAGCATAATAATAGTTAACTACACAAACACGGTTTACTAGACCTGTGGCTGTAATTTCTCCAGGACTTAACACTAGAGATATCAAACATGCACCACCACTACCACTCCTACTTATTCTACACTGGGCAGAGGGTTGGAGATCTGCGGAGGATGAATGTTACTAAGTAAGTAAGGAAGGGTCCAACAATAAGGTTTCATTAATCATCACTCGGGACCAAAGGACGGCTCCTTGTTTATCTTTCTTTTTCTTCCTGTTGATCTTTCTTGTTTTCTTTCTACGTTAAGCTGTAATTGGTAGGTAGAGATAAGGAAGAGAAGAAAGACGAATATTTGTGGTTCAGATTCTTTCGGCTGTCACTCCACAGTGGAGGCCGGGCAAGGCCTGACCTTTCTGCTGAGCCTCACCTTTTTCTAGCAACTTCCTGTTCGTCTATTGCCTCAAATCCATTCTTACTCAGAGCACATGAAATTTCTATCGGTTCACATGGTGTCTTTGCTGCTTTGAATCTCAACCTATATTTATTAAAACATAAAACACATAGACACACATGTGTACATCTGTCCATCTGTGTGAGGGGCTGGGGGTAGACCCCAGAGTCCTGTGCCTGCTAGACAAGGGCTCTCTTTGCGGAGCAACCTCCTGGCCAAGACAGACAAAAGGCTGGCCTAATAATGATTTCCTCAGCTATGTCTAAAATATTGGAATAGATAATTATTATGTATATGTGTATATCTTTGATTCACTCATTTTTCTTTTGAAGATTTTTGATTGGGTCAAGTTTGCTTAAGTTTCCAGAATGTTCTGTTATTAGGGATTTTTAAAAAAGCTTTGAAACATTCTTTTCATACAATCTAGCTTTTTTGGTTTTAGTTTGGAGTGGTCCTTTCAGTTTACCCCAGGGGTTCTCTTCCCCAGTGCTGGGGCCTGAAGCTGGTGCAGGGCTAGCGCATGCTCAGTGCCTGCTGCCAGGAGCTACACCTTTCTGTCAGACTTGGGATCGTTAACTGCGGCTCATGGACCCTGAGAGGGTCCGCCAATCTGAGGCCACGCAGACACAGGACAGAACCAGAGCTAGGGGCTTTAACCTTTATCACATTAGCTTCTTTTTATATTTTTAAGGAATTTAGACTTAGAGAAAATTCACAAAAATGGTGCAGAAGGTTTCTATACAGCTTTGTAGCAGTTCCTCCTGCTAAAGTCAAAATGACCCTGGTAAAGCACCCTTCTACAAATCTGTTAACTCAAGTACAGACTTTTTGGGCTCCCTGGAGGGTTTCCATGAGTCCTTTTCTGGTGTGTCCTCCTTGGTCCCACATTTCTTTCACTTGTGTCCCCTGAGGTCTGACTTCCTTGTGCTTTTCTAACTTCCCCGGGGCTTCTCCTTTGCTTGGGTTTCATAAACAACTCCGGGTTTAGCCTATCACCTTTCAAGAGTGTACGGACTTCAATCTGCTCATTTGTCTACATTGTACAGTCCTAATCTTTTAATTCCAAAATGAGATTGCTCTCAGAGTGCGAATCGGTGAGCAGCAGCAGAGCAGTAGAGAGCCGAGGGCGTGGCAGCCTTGCTTCAAATCCCACACTGAATGGGATACTTTCAATTTAATTCCTCAGCAAACAAAAGTACTAAGTGTTCTCTCCAGGGACACGGGAAGAGAGAACTGAAAGGTCACCTGATCCAACTCTTCAAGTTTTACAAATGAGAAGACTATCATGTTGCAAAGGAAATAAACAGAAAATATCACATTGACACCATTTCATAGCATTTATTGACATTTCCATTTAAAATGCTAAGAAAGCTGTAAAAATTGTAAACATGGAAACCAAACACTTGCATAAATTATTTCCAAAACTACAGCTCATTAGAAAACAGTGCAGCTAATTTGGAGGATAGAAACATAACCGACAAAGAGAAGGGTGAGCTCAATGACTAAATCAAATACCCATACTGAGATTTTGGTGCCCATTTGAGAACAGCAAACTATGATTGTCAAGTTCAGGTTGCAGGACGGATGCCACGGGTGGCTCCAGTGTGCTCTGCACAGTTTCGTACATTAATGGTCATCACCTAGAATGAGGGTGCAGGAAAAATCGGAAGAACATGACCTTGGGAAGGGTGGGAGACGAGTCAGCACCCCAGTCAGCAGCTCCTCAGAGCAACCTCTCCCGTGAATGCTCTCAGCGAGACTTTGGGAGATGGCAAAGTCAGGAGTGTTTCACTCCACCTTGAAATGAGTCCCTGGCGCTGAGGGCAACTGAGTTAGTGACCACATCTCAGCTCCTCTAGCACCTCACCTCTCTCCTCTCCCTGCCCAGCAGGAGGAACAGCCCAGCAGGAGGAACACAAAGGGGTGTCTAGCTTGACTGTGGCCCTGGGGAGACAAATTATGAAGATTTGAAATCTGGTAGGCATGAGAAAAAACTGCTCCAGGCAGTCCCAGGGGAAAGTTCTACATAATCAGGGACAGCAACATTCAATTGATTCCAATTTTCTGCTAAGTCCCTTCAACCTATTCACTCTTTCTTTAAATGCAAAGTGACCCCAGAGCAGGAAAACCCTGGGGAAAGAAGGCAAAGCAAGGGGCCTGGATCATTACCTACCCTGTGGGACAGTGATTTGGACTAGAGTTTATCAGGCGAAGACATTCAGTGCTTCTCTCGCTTTCCCCACTGGGTTCCTCGCTGCTCTGCATTCCCAAAGGCATATGATATTCCTTCCCTACTTCAACGCTGCTGTTTGTAGCATAAATTGTTGAGTGTACTGTTACATAGAGAAGTATGGGATTAGTACTGCACCGTGACATTTCAGCATGTAAGTCTTTTTAACAGTGGACAGAGGTGTCCTAGTTTAAATATCAACAATCAACGCCCAAAATGTCAAAAGAAACCAGAAATGTGCTTACTCCTTGTTCACAGGGTGGCAACAGTAAGCCTAAACATTTCCTAAGTGTCACCAGCAGTGACCCACAGAGGCCTTTGTACTGTTACAGGTAGAATGCAGCACGTCAGCTTCTGTGTAGAAGCACACCTCATGGATTGTACCCAGCATGTGTTTGTGCTCATGCAGCCCTCTGCAGGTTCGGAGGCCGCCTCTCCGCCTGGGCCAAGCGCGGATGAGCAGGCTCTGGGGATGAAGTTGGGAGCCTTGCTCTGGAGGTAGAAACTCCCTGCTGAAACCTCACCAGAGCTAAAGTTAATGTGACACTTAAGACTGAGAGAGCTCCTGGTCCCAAGCCCAGACTCTCAACCAGCTTTCCTTCCCTATACCATCTACATTCCCATCTAAGAACCCCAGAGGAAAGGCCAGGCGAGGCTCCCTCAATGATTAACCTGGGAGGCATGACCGAGCAGATCTGCAGTGGGGACAGCTTGCTCCATAGAGCACACGGGAGGACATCAGACAAACGTGGTTAACACTGGCCTTGCTCATGGGAAACGGGAGACTCATACAGCAGAGAAGGACTCATTTTAGCCCAAAGCCTTCCAATCATGCCTTTACCCCCAGTTTGTGTCGTAGGCCTCATAACCCTGAAAAATCCAGCTGTCAAAGACACACTGCTTAAAAGCCACATGCCACCAAGATCAACACACATTCTGAAATTAAATAATAATTGGGAAGAAAACTTGTAGGCATCTGTGAAGAAGCCAAACGTATTTATTTATAACCTGGTATGCTCCACGCCCACAGCAGTTCTTTGTACTCTCCTTTCCCTCCCCACGGTGCTCTTCTCTGTAGATCTCTACCAGCCTGGTCACCCATTTGTTGCATTCACGTGGCTGTTCCTCCCCATACTACTTCCTTCTCTGAAGCTCCTTGTGCTGTCACCACGCAACACCATGCTCCCTCTTCCAGCATCAAATTCATTTTTCAATGGCAGCATACTCCAATCTCCACAGCCTCCCCCAGGCCCACTCTGGGCCCATCCCAAGCCATTCCACCACAGGCCAGGGTAGCTCCCGTCTTCATCCAAGTGACTTCTGCAGTTCACTTCTCCCAGAAGCCAGCATCTTCAGACCCACAACTTCCACAGCTTCTTCTGAGTGCCCGATGCACTTGTGTGCTTTGAATGAATCTTATGGATGTCAACACTGTATTTGTTTGGTTGGTTTTGGATCAATGTCTTTCTTTTTTTTTTTATACCCATCTGTAATATCTGAGTTAGAGTCTAAGATTTCAGAAGGCAGCGTTCATATTTGCTGACCTGTTTCGTGCCAGTATAGAAGAAAATCAGGAGCAGAAAGATAATTAAGATGTTTTTTGAAAGTCATGGAAGAAAGAGAAGAATTTGAAACAAAACAGGAATGAGGAAGATGAGTCACACCAGGTTTTCAGTTTTGCTCTGGTTGCCTACATGTGAACCATTCACAGGTAGGTCACAGCATATCCCACGGGCCATGCCAGGGCATTAACACTGAAAACATGCTGCATTTTCACAGTGCTTTATGCTCCCTCCTCCAGGGAAGTCTGCACACAGGATCACACCTGGTTCTCCCAACCAACAATCCCAGGAGGCAGGCAGGGGAGGTCTGTCCTTAAGGAAAATGAGGTTCAGCAAAAGAACTTGACACAGAGGATTAGTGACACAGTAGACTGCAAAGAATCTCTCCTTCAAAAACTCTTATCAGAAATGCCAACTCAGATTTATAGTTCGTTTTAACACTAGGACTTCTAGAACAGGGAAAAAGAATAGACCTTAAATTTAACTTTTATAGAGCACTTCAATCAATGGAACTCCAAAGCTGCAAATGATCAACAGGACAACCTTTATTTTAAACAAAACACACTGACTAAGTGTCTAGAGCCCCAATGAGCATGGCGCGTCCCCTACTGCCAGCACATACCGATTCTGGCAACTGGTCAACCTGCTCGGGCAATGTCTAGGGGATATAAGTGAAAGCCAAGTGTGCTTTGTTTTTTCACAACCAACAGAGTGCTAATGATTCCACAGGGCCTGCTCACGCTGCTTCCCTCACCAGCAGCAGTTTGTTACGTGTCATCTTTGGTCTTGACATTGGTTTACAGGTGTATTAGTTTTAGGAATGAAAATACAGGTAGTGTCCCTTGATGGTAGTTTGAAAGGCATCAACACTGTGGTCATGGCAGCAGAGACTCATTTCTGCAACACACATAAGAGGTAACCACTTCTAGGACACTGCGTGCAAAACACTTACGACACAGAGCAGCACCAGGAGAGAAAGGGCCGTTTATTCCATCTGCTGTCATGTGATTTGGATTCATCGTAAGGGATCCATCAAAAAACTCTGCTTGGGTATGTGAACGTCTTAATACCACCTTCAGGAAACCTGATCTTTCTGAGTGATGAAGACACAGGATCTTCCACTTTGGGAACAGAAAGGGTTAAACCAAGAACAAGAGGCTAGAAATCAAGCCCCAGGGAGGACCTTTTCTCCCACACACACACACACTGGAGCCTCTGGACACAGCCTGATGGGAGCTTCTGGCTACACTTTGACTTCTGAGAACAGACTTTGCCTGGTCCTGAGATTCTAACCAGCATGATCCCAGAACCAACAACTATACCCTGCAAACCTGTTCTAACTGAATCCAGGTTCTTACAACGTACTGCAGCTACCCAGATTTTGATTAGGTAGAATCCAGAATTTACTGCCTTCTGTGTCATTTAATGAAAACTATGAGTTCATCTGCTAAAAAGAGGTCCCCAAGCAGGAAGCTCTGCTGTATGTATGTATATCCTTCGAGTTTCGCTCAGCCATCAGAGTGAAGAACCACTGTCTTTCTGACTGCAGTGTGGGAAGGAGGGAAATGTTGACTTCAGGAGCTACATCTTTTGGGGCAATGACCCACCTCTCCTTGGCCCAAAGTACACAACAGTTTTAATAGTCACTCAACAGAGTGATAACAATTAAATCAGGATAAAGGGCAGCTCTCCTCTCCCTTGCAGCCTCAAGACCCTTCTTTGCAGTTCTTCATCTGTGCCACAGGCTGAACTGGACTCAGGGCCAATTCCAGGGGTTGCACACAGGGAACTTGATCACTAAGATGGATGTGTAACAATGGGAATGTCCTAGGACTTGTCAGAAATGATGGCTGCTTACCTAAGATTTCCCATGTGGCGTGACGCACGAGCAAACCGTCAGCAAAGTGCAAGGACCCCAGACCTGAGCGCCTCACTCTGCGGGACTGCCCTTCATCACATGTGCAGGAGCGAGACCTACCTGGAGCTGCAAGTGCCCAATTAAGAAACAGCAACTACAATAAAGAATGTAAATCTAAACATTGATATGTATTTCGATTAACCAAATAAATAGCTCCCCCACCGCCCCCAAATTGGGGAGTTTTCTTTTTTTTTTTTTTTTTCCTAGAACAAAATGAAACCTCCAACACGTTCTTCCACTGTCAAAGCCAAAGTTGCATGTCGCAGACAGAAAGGTGAAGGGGTTCTCGGAGCTTTAGCACCAGAAGAGGAGGAGGAGGAGGAGGAGGAGGAATGCAGCGATGGCTTCGTCAGGAGTCATGAGGCTCTGCGATCTATCATTTGGTTTCTCATTAGTAGCTTTCTTTAAAATCCCCCAACATTCTTAGTGTTCTTGTTGTTAATATGACTATTAAAATAAGTTCCTATGGAGGAAAACAGGGAAATCAAACTGCTAAGGAAATGTCTTCAAAACTCTCTCTCAGAGAACAAAGCAGCAGGTGCATCGTACACGTCAGTCTGTATCCCACACAGAAGCACGGTTTCTTGCCGCCCTATATCATCTACACATTTCAATCTCTTGCCTTTTAAAAGGAGACTAACTTATTAATTTTGTTAGCTTAGGTTTGTGTTTCGTTTGTGTGAAATGCTGCTGGCTTTTGGCCAAAAATAGATACATTTCCACTGAACCCCAGTGGTCACCAAATGGCCAACCTAGGAAAACTATTGTATGGGGTATGGCAACATCCAACACTGTGACTCGTTCCCTTAGGCGGGCAGCGCGCCCCGGAAATGCTGGTCCTCTTACAAACATCCGCTCAGTTGATTTCCTCCTGGTCTTGCTTCCACGGGAAGCGGATACTGGCAAACCTGTGAGGCGGGGCCAATCAGCTGTGGAAATTCTGCACGGCGTTCTGCTTCTGGGAAAGCCGGAGCAGCTCCTCTCGGATCGCTTTTATGAGGGAAGCTGAGGAATGTCCCGGCTGGAGGTCTTCTGTGGAGCTGGTGGGGTAGCCCAGCCCAGGGCCCTGCAAGCCCCGGTGGGTCAGGTTCCCAGGAGGAGCCGAGGGCTCCCTGCCAGAAGTCCTTGGCACCTGAAATAGCGGTGAAGAAGAATACTCTTGATGTCCGAGGAGGTGGGGCTGAAAAACACGGCAAACATTACTGCACTTCCCATACGAGGACCAGAAGGACGGTCAACTTCAAAACAGCAGCGCTCCTTCCTCCACTCCACCCCCCAGGCCCATGTGCCACTGGGAAGAGAGTGAGCAGGTGCAGACAGGAGCAAGCGTGGGGAGAACAGGCTAAGTGAGCCTGGGAAACCTGGGAGGAAGGAGCAGAAGCGCCCCAGAGAGGTCAGGGAGAGCAGCAGACCCCAGCAGAGGGTCCATCTGGAGCCTCTTCCCTGGACCCTAGAAACACGAGCTTGAGTCTCACTGGACCCACAGAACCACCTTGCATCTTCCCCATCTGCTATGGTCTTCGTGTGTGTGTGTGTGTGTGTGTGTGTGTGTGTCTGTCTACCACATGCTTTCTAGAGCCTTCTGTCTAACAAGTCATCCACATCACAGTAGACATCAGTTCTCTGCTATTTATAAGATAAAATCTGCTATAAGTTTGATACAAATGTTACATTTTTCAATGATTTTTGTTTTCCATATTTTTTTTCAGTGGGGGGAAAAAATCTGTGTATGACATCAGTGTGTGTTTGATGAGCTAAACCTATGTACTAAAAGAACAAATAACACAAATAATAAGTTATCAGGGAAAAAAAGATGGCCTCCAAAGCCCTGGATTATTTCTTTCTGTATTTCACTTTTCCAAATTCCAGTAAAGAAACACTTCAAGGTGAACATTATTAGACTTGATAGAAAAAAACCTAAAATACTTCATAAAAACTAAGCTGGATACAATGAAGTCAGAAAAAGAAATGTCAATACTCTTCAAGCAAATATTTAGATCATCAGTCTAACAAATGTCTCTTGAGGGAAAGATCACACCTAAAGTCATTTTCCTTTCACTTCGTGGAAGGAAGCATTCGGTCATAAGAGGAATTCAGCTTCACTGTTGAGAAGGCACAGAAGCAGAAGAAAGCTGGAGTACAGTGACACAGATAAAACGGGAGGCAATAGTCTAGCTTGCGTGTTTCTTTTTAAAGTATCCTCCAGGGGTATAAAAGTATCAAGAAAAACAGTTGAGAGCATATGTAGAAGTTCTATGTCCACACTGAGTAACTGGAAGACAAGTGGCTTCCAACACCCCGCACCAAGTGCATGGTGGGAACCCATCCATGCACCTTGGTCACAGCAGCCACAGTGTCACTCTGCCCATCATAAGCACAAAAGTTAATAACATGAAGATTTATAAAGCGATCACACCAAAGATGAAGTCCAGATGTGACTCACCTTCACGTTCAAAATCACTACTTAAAGGCCTGAGATCGCTTCATTAAAAAGCATTTCCTTTCCCAACGTGGGAAGAAATTTATCACATAAAACCTGCTAGCAGGGCCGGCCAGATAGCTCACCAGATTGAAGTGCCTGCTTAGGCAGATGTAGGGACCAGGGTTTGATCCCCCACTTGCTGTGCCAGCCCCGCCCCTGGGCCACACTGAGACAGAGATTGAGACTGGGTGTGGTGGTGCATGCCTACGATCCCAGCGCTTGGGAGGCTGAAAACAGAAGGACCATTGCGAGTCTGATCTGTGTAGTGAGACCCTGTAGAACCTGTACTAAAATAAAACATTAAAAAAAAAAAAAAAAAAAACCAGCAAGCAAAAACACAGGAAAGACTAGGGATATAGCTCAGTGCTCTAAGGGCCTGCCTGGCAAGCAAAAGGATGTGGGTCCAATCCATGGTACCATATGCCATGCCCGCTCCATGCTAAACCAGCCCCCAAAACCAGGCGTGAAGGCACACACCTGTAATCCCAGCTCTGGGGAGGCTGAGACAGGAGGATCACTATGAGTCTGAGTGTAGTGAGGCACTGTACCAAATGAATAGATAGAAAGTCAAAACAGCAAGGAAGAAATGAGCTTTTTGAAAACACGGGTCTTAAAAGCAGACTGTCAAAGCAACGAAGAGCTCAAGGGTGAATCTAAACAAAGGGCCGCGCCCCAGATACTCACAGCCTCTCTCCGCACCGCTTCATCTTCCCCGTAAGCAGCCCAGCCTGGACCCCCAAACTGGCCGCCTCTCATGGCTGGGATTTCCACTGGCTGCGCCCCGATCCTGCTAGCGATTCCCACCTGTGTCAGGTGCTGGATTTGGGAGCCTGGAAGGAACACAGCACAGTGGGTGGTGGGCAGTGGGGGCTGGGGACGCTGCTGCATGTAGGCACGCAGGGCACTCCCTACCAAGAGGGCCGCTGCTTCCCGCCTTTCAGCACAGGCGCCAGCTTGCTCGCTCGCTTGCGCACCACCATTGGACGCCTGGGGATGAAGGGTTCCATTCTGCTGTGCCCACGGGTTACGGCCAGGGGCCGAGGGGCTTACTGATCACATCTTGTTCTGGGCACTTGTCATTACAGCCACAGAATTCCCCCAACTGGCCACGGAGCCCAGCAAACCTGGAACCAACTACAGCCCACGTGTGACAAGCCACAGCCCGAGGGCAGCTGCCACTCCTGTGGGGCTTCCTTCCACACTTTTTGAGAGCAGGAAGTCATTTCAAGGGTAAAAGAGCAAGAGAGAAACAGAGCACCATCCACACAGGCAGCTACCTGGGAATCTCAGATCCTCTTTTCTGGCTTTCTTCATTTTAAAAAGCTGCGTAATTTATTCACTGTCTAGGGAGCTGACAATGTGTCGGCTCTCTGAACAATTCTAGGATAAACATCTAGGCATGTGTAGTTTTTCCCTAATGTTTTGGATTTGGAGGTTAGAGGGATCCTGTGGTCCCAGAAGTAAAATTACTAAATAAATGTTTATGAGTCCTAGGGCCAAATTATTTTCCAACACATAATGATTTACATCAATGCTGAAAAGAAGGCAGTGGTGAACACAAATATATCACTCAGAGTATATGATCTGCCGGGAAGTATTTCGGGCACGTTATATCTGCTATTTTATTCAATGAACCAAACAACCGTAAGCGATGAATACTAATCACGCTCATCATACAGATGAGGAAACTATGCAAATTTTGCCACACCACATTCTTATGAAAATAAGTCCATGATCATAATTGTACCCTGCAGTATTAATCTGTATTTCTTTAATTATTCTCAAGACTGGGCCTTTTTCCTGGCTTGCTTTTTTATGATGTACCGGTGCACACACATGCACGTACACATTTCTTTTGTGAATTCTTTCTTACCATCCTTTACCCGTCTGACTTTTGAGGTTTGCCCATTTGGCGATTTACATGCACCCACCTCTATCATAAAAATACCTCTGGGGCAGCGGGGGTGTGGGGATGCACATCTGGAATCCCAGCCCCCTGGGAGGCTGAGAAAGGAAGGCTGCAAGTTAATGCCCAGGCTGGGCAGTTTAGCAACTTCGTGAGAGCCAGCCTCGAAAACAAAAGGCAGAGTGCAGCTCTTCAGGTCACGGGTTCAATGCCCAGGACTGAAAACAAGCGGCTCTTGGTCAACAAATGCTGGCAGTTTTCCCTAGGTGCTATTTGTTTTAGATCTATACATATTTGATAATTTTCTACAGTCAAAAATGTAATTCTAATCAATCTTAACTCCTTATAATTTCACTCCTGATTCTAAAGTATTAGATGTGGCAACTTCTTCTTTAAATGTTCGGCACACGTTTCTATGTTCGTCTAGAATGTTCCATTAACAATTTTTTATTTATTTATTTATTTATTTATTTATTTATTTATTTATTTGTGTGTGGCCAGCTCAGCCCACCAGGGTGGCACTGGCTGGCATGTGGTGCTGGGGGATTGAACCGCGGTCCCTGTGCTTTGCTTAGCTTGTTTTAAGTAGGTGCTTTAGACCACTGAACCATCTCACCAGCCCCCATCCATTAACAATTAATACATCTGAGTTTGTTTAGTGTTTATGCCACGCAGAGAAGTCTCACCACGCAGCGGCTAACAGGAGAAACGAGTCTCCATGCAGCGCCCAGCACGTGGAAATCTGAGAAAGCTGTAGGCTACTAGGACACACGATGTGCTTTTGGGTTTCCAGATATGCAAGATACAAGAGTTTCCCAGAAGATCATAGTGAAGAAAAAAATGGCACCAATTACTGCAAATTCGGAATTGGCCTAGAGTAACGCCTGGTTTATATATTCACCAGGAGGTTAGACAATAGCAACATTAATCAATGAACAGGCATAGTTCCCCTCGTTAAAGCTTCAGCCATAAGCCACAGCAGCTAAATCAACATGAATAAAAGAGGCACGTAGAAAAGCGGATTCTCCTTGAGATAAGGATGTGAAGTGACATCAATCAGACACATGAGCTTAAGTATCGCATGGTTTCTTTTATATGAGAGACCTAAAATATAAATAAAGCGCAGAATAATAGATCATAGGAAGTAGGGAGATAGGTTTCTCTTAAATAGGAAGGAGATCAAGAGATGGAGGCAGGAAGGGGATGAAAAGCGAACTGAGATGTGTCATGTACACATGTGAACTCCCCGTAAGGAGTGATCACGTGCGGCAGCACGTGCTAATAAAAAGTAAAAAAAAAGATGCAGGAGGAAAGTAGAGTGACTTTGAGCTTTCATAATAAAGCACACTAAGATGATACTGAACTTCAAGAACTGTTCAAAGTATGCCCATACAAGAAACAGGAAGAATTTAGGCTCTTGAACTACACAGACTTTTTTTCTTTGTCTTTTCTGGTGCTAGGGATCCAACCCAAGGACTCCCGCGTGCCAGGCAAGCACTCTACCACTGAGCGCCGCTGCAGCCCTCCGCAGGGCTTTTCGGAAGACGGCATAATAGCATTTGTAGCATCACTATCATGAGTTGAAGTTTTATGAAATTAAACGGCAATGTGGACTTTGGGGTACCAGCCTAGCGTCAGGTGAACTGATGGGGTGATCCAGCCATCTGCTATCAAGAATCTCAAGGCTGGCCACATGAGCACACACCTGCGATCCCAGCACTTTGGGAGGCTGAGGCAGGAGGGTTATAAGTTTGAACTCAGCCTGAACAACTTAGCAAAATCTTGTCTCACTGTAAAATACAATAAACATGCTGGGATGTAGCTTGGTGCAAAGGCCCTCGGTTCCATTCCTAGTACTGAAAAGAAAAAAGAAAAATGGAAAAGAAAAAAGAGCTTTAATAATTAACCTAAAGCTTTCATGAGACTCTAAAATATTTTCTTTCATATTTTTTTTCACATTTTCCAAAAAAGCATCCATTCTTAACCTGTCATTGTTGAGGACACTGAATTCAGAAAACACTATTA